TGCTAAAATGGTGCCTCAGTAGCCTAAGTGTAATACCGTAGGGACATGAGAGATTTATCCTGTTAGATCAGGGAGGGTGTATCTTGGTAAAAGGTAAACTGAGTCATCCATTTGTGTCTCTTTACCAGAGCTCTGACAACTTGACTTTTAGAGTATCAAGAGGTACAATAGATATTTCTTTTGGATAGGCAAATATTACATGATATAATAGCATGTAACTATTTTCAAAGATACTATTCGGTCAGTTATAAATTATAGAGATACAACTCAAAGTGGCTTAAACAAAAAAAGGAATTGTATTGATTTTGTGCTGGCTTTGGACGTGGTTAGATTCACATGTCAAAATTCTGTTGGAAATTTCTCTCCATTTCTGGAGTCTCCTTTTACCTAGGTTGACTTTATTTTCGGTCAGGTGCTCCCTCTTTCCACGTGTGGCGAGGTAGTCATTAGTAACGTCAGGCTTGTGTTCTCCTAGGTTAGAAACACAGGCACTTCTATCCCAACAGTTTCACCAGTTTCTGAGGCTGACTCTTATGAGGCCATCCTGTGTCACGTGCTCAATCTCAAGTCACTAGCTGCCAGGGTGTGGAAACTGTGATACATCAGGCCTCGGTCGTGTTTCCAGCCCTAGAGGCGCTGCAAGCTTGTCAGCCTCACCCGAAGCACATGCACTAAGAATGAGAAGGTGTTTCCCCGAGGAAAACGGGTCTGTTGCCAGAGGAAGGAAGATTGATATCAGCTGAGTGAATGAATGAATGAATGAAGTAACAGGTATCCACTATTGATAGGAATGCTTTATAAATGTAAGGCAGTACATATGTACTATAAAATCTGGCAGCCCTCAGTAATACAGTCCATACTATTCATTGAGATATCTTAAATTATAATGGAACTTCTTTTGCATTTATTGTAAGGTATGGCTTTATGAAAAAGTTCAGTAGTTTTTCTGCTGTAATGATGAAGAAATGTGATGCCTACAGACACCCTCATTCCTTTATAAGACCACAATGAGTTGGAGTTCCTATTTAGCAAAGGAGTAAATTTGTTTGTCTTAATGCTTATTTGTCATCAGAAACATATGAGTATTAAAGCCTACCTTTTTGGTATTTTTAATATTTTCATAGGATTCCCATAGAGGTTCTTCTTTTGTGGTTGCAAAAAGAGAAATCGTCACTTCATTACTTTTTTTTTCTGAAAGTTGATGCTAGTAAAATTAGTATAATTATATTGTTAATATTATGTTTATTTGATATAACAAATAATTATAAGTCTAGGAATAAGGAAAATTTAAGCGAAGATTCTTTTTCTTTAGAAATAATACCATTATTTAGGCAGATCTTCACTCCTCAAATGGGTTTAGGTTTGAACAGGAACGCTCCAACACGGAGATGTGGAGATGTCCAAGAGTAAAGAACAGCACAGTGATAGGACAGAGAAGAGAGATGGTCATCATCTCTCAGAGGTTTTCTACATACCCTTCTCCATCCAGTTAGGCTTTGTGTCTCCTTCGTACCCTTTGTATACTTCTGTAGCAGCACTTTCAAGGCTTACTGCACCCGTACATTTACACCTATGTTTCCTACAACTAATCTAGAAGTTCTTTACAGGCAGGAACAGTGTCATATTGTATATCGTTTATCTCTGGCTCCCAACACACGGCCTGGGCCACTAAGCATTCCACAAAAGACTGGATGGATGGTCACAACTGTAGATCATAGCTCTGAAGGGAAAACCGATTTGTAACTGTCAAGAGCATATCTGATTTCGTCAATGCATGCTACACCACATAATTTGTATGCTGTTGAAGATCCAGTACTTTTTTCTCTCAATTCTTTAGAAATAAGAATACATAAATTTATGTGAGTCAGTGTGTTAACAGAGTTCACCAGTGAAAATGAAGCCATACATAGAATTAGAATTTGTTATTTATCATTTCAGTGGGGATACAAACACTGTCCATGCACAGACTTTTCCTTTGGTAAATGCTGTGTTCCTATCTCAGAAGTAAGCAAATGGCCTATCTTCCCTGATTCTCCACACCCCTCTCTCCCCACCCACCCAGTGTTCAGTTGCCATTTTCCTTGGCTGGGCTATTAAGTATTTATATTTATTAAATTTGGAATTTAATAACTTTTATATTTATATTTCTTTTAATTTTCTAATTTAGTTTCTAAGATTAGTGATCTTATGCAGAATTATTACTATCTAACGTTCAATGTTACTTATTATAAATATTAATGTGTAGTCATTAATGTCTTCTCTTAAATCATAACACATTTATTTAGTTACATGTGGACAAATGTCAGTCATACCAACAAAATCTGGGGGCCACGTCACTATTTGATAAAACAGCAATTTTGGCTGACAGTATTTTATATAAGTTTATTTCAGATAGTTAAACTGAAATCCAGGTGTTAGTACTTACTACGTAAAGACATATAAAGATAGATGATGTGGTGTAATTCTTCTTTATAATATAAAGATAGATGATGTAGTGTAATTCCTCAATTTGCAAAGATACAGATTTTTCAGATGTTCACTTTTATGAAAAGTCCACACACCATCTCTAAACTATGCATTATTTCAGAATTTTTGAATGTTGAAAAGAGAGAAAAATGATTAAAGGGAAAAATAAGAAAGGACAAGCTAATGTGAAATAATAATGTAAGTACTATGCACACATTTGCAAGTTCTTTTGTAAGGATAGAACTTCCTAGAGTTTTTAAAAAAAAAACTGTAGATGCAGTAAATATAGTATGAGACTCATGTACAGTGTAGTAGAAATTAGTATCGTCACACGTCTCATAGAAACTTAAGGTGACTTTACAGTGGCTGTTATAAAATTATATATTTCATTACTTTTTATTGATAGTCTATAGGATACTTCCCATGATTAACTTTTCATATGCTGTTCTCTTCCTGGATTGTAATCATGCAGGTAATCATTACAATGAGCAAAATAACAGTGATATTAGAATTTAAAGTAATTTAAGAACAGCTCTTTTGAAAATCTTGGTTGATTAATATATCTTTCTTCATAAAAATTGTTAAAACCCTACAGTTTGCCAGGATATAAATGTTTTCAACCGTATTTTATTGCAAAAGATGTTCTGATTTTGAAAAGAAATACTTATTTATAAAATATAGTCAGATTTAACATTCAAATATTTAAATCCTTAAAAGTAAGTTTTCTCAGTGCGTCATGTGCAGAGGATAAAATGAGGATGATTCTAGTTCATCTTTATAATTGATGTAAGATGTAATCATGATTTAACTTTCTAATTATAACACTTGAACATACTTCAGCATTTCAGACAAATAATTTTCTACAAAAAAGTGAACAAAATTAACAAATTTAATTTGTTAAAAAATGTATTTCTCAGACTACTTCTTGAAACTGAATGCACTTAATCAGGGGAATATGAAGGATATATTTGACATTTCTAGGAAATGTTTCTAGAAAATTTAGGTATTTTTTTCAATAAAATGAAATGATTATATAGGCAAATCAGAGTGAAACAAAATGCCACTGTGATTATAAATTATGTGTGTGGGAAGAAAAGTTTGTATGCGTGTAATATATGTAAATATATCTAAGAGGTGCCCCAGTCTAGAGTTTGAATTTATACTTTCACTGCTTGCCACCTTAAAGAGCAAAATTGCCAAAAATGCATGGCTCTATTTCTTTAAAATATTCTTACCCAAATCTGTGTTTTAAAGGTACATGGCAGTACTTGCTAAAAGTTAACTAATGAAATGCCTCAAAGTATCTCAAGTAAATTCCTACTCAGATTTCAGCAAATTATTTCAGCCTGCCCATTTTTAATGTCTAGAACAAGGAAAGTGATTCCTTCAGTGCTTTATCAGTGACACAACATTCAGGGTTTTTGATCTACTCATTGAGTCATAAATCAGTGCCATCTGTATCTTTGTTCAACCAAATAAAATTTTAAATGTTAATATCTATATTTTAATTTTAGGGGTTGTGGAAAAGACCATACTGAATTTATACTTCTTATAATAGTATTTGATTAGGATTAAATCAAAATCTGCTGGGTTTTGTGGCTGGATGTTTCAATACAAATTAGCTAAAATGCCTATACTTCATATGGTTACGTTGGGTCATTGTAAATATTCATGTGACTGCAATAATTTTTCAATAACCTTTGGTAGTATGATTGTAAGTCCTACTTTTAAAAATGTAGCTGTGACTGCCAAAAAGAGAATTATCTACTTAAAATAGTCATTTCACAAATTTAGATAGAGCATCCAGATAATAGTCTCAAATAGTCTTAACCTACCTAAAAGCTATTAATATTTTTTATATTATTAATTATTTAGAAGTATTTGTTTCTTTTATGAAGTTATATGTTATCAGCTTAGTTGAAGAACTAAAATACTACTCCTAATAATTTTATTGACCTCTATCTCTGAAAACATTAGTCATGAAACAAATAAGGTATTGAACAACACAAAAATTACTAGATGACAAGGAACATGAAATTAATGTTTTGAAGGGACTCCAGCTAGAACTTTCCTCCTTTTATCTTTACTAACTTTGCTTTATAATCCTGCACTCTTTGTTTGTAAATGTTTTAGACCAAAGATATTCTTAAAGCAAAATAGGTGAAGAATCATCAAAAGCATTTTGATTTTGCAGCTATATAAAAATGTTACCATTGATGTATAGTTATGATTCCCTCTTTTTTAAACATAATCTCTTATAACTTCTACTGCAAAATGCACAAAGACTCAAGGAAAATTTTTGTTTAATAATTTTAAACTGAACATTGCATTTTCCTTTGAAAATTCTAAGTTCTCAAGATAATTATATTAAAATGTGATAAAAGTCACTTTAGAAATTGTGGTATTTCTGTCTTTCATAAATTGCGTTAAACTAATTTTCAAGCTATTATTTTACTTTTTCTAGGATAGCAAAGTAATATGATGTATGTGCGCAAAACAGAAGTATTATTTATACGTATTTTTTTTGATTACAGGTAAAGATTATAGTTCCCAACAGCACAGCAGGTCTGATAATAGGGAAGGGAGGTGCTACTGTGAAGGCTATAATGGAGCAGTCAGGGGCTTGGGTGCAGCTTTCCCAGAAACCCGATGGGATCAACTTGCAAGAGAGGGTTGTCACTGTGAGTGGAGAACCTGAACAAAACCGAAAAGCTGTTGAACTTATCATCCAGAAGATACAAGAGGATCCACAGAGTGGCAGCTGTCTCAATATCAGTTATGCCAATGTGACAGGTCCAGTGGCAAATTCCAATCCAACCGGATCTCCTTATGCAAACACTGCTGAAGTGTTACCGACTGCTGCAGCCGCCGCAGGGCTCTTAGGACATGCTAACCTTGCGGGCGTTGCAGCCTTTCCAGCAGTTTTATCGGGCTTCACAGGCAATGACCTGGTGGCCATCACCTCTGCACTTAATACATTAGCCAGCTATGGATATAATCTCAACACATTAGGTTTAGGTCTCAGTCAAGCAGCAGCAACAGGGGCTTTGGCTGCAGCAGCTGCCAGTGCCAACCCAGCAGCAGCAGCAGCCAATTTGTTGGCCACCTATGCC